ATACTATATATATATATATATATATATATATATATATATATATATATATATATATATATATATATATATTTTATCTATTTATTTATTTATTTATTTATTTGCTTATTTATTTATATATATAACTCGATATTATTCAGTTACACAATTTTTAATGTAAATAAAATTAGGAATGAACATAATTGGTCTGCATCCGCTTCATCTTAGTTGTATTAGTTCAAGGCACGAAGTATCAGGACTTATCGCAAAATCTATAAATTTCTCTCTGGTTACCTAGCAGCCAATACCACATGAATTAGTACATTTCTATTGATCCGAGATATAGAAATCGAGAAATCTCCGGAACGAATTTAGACTTTTTTAGCCTTCTCTATTTCAATTAAAATTGATCATTTTGAAATATGTCTGAGCGAGGCATTTATTTTGCAAGTGGACCACTTACAAGCGTTGAATTCAGGTATGTTGTACGTCACTTCTCCAAAATTTGAAGCTATATTAAAATTTTGATTGACTGACATCTCACTGATTACTCAGATTAACTGATATCTTACTGACCATTCAGATTAACTGATGTCTCACTGATTATTCAGTTACACAATTTTCCACGAATATAAAATTAGAAAAAATTAGAAATAAACATAGTCCGCCTCCGCTTCAACTCAGTTCTAAATATAATCAGTACTGTGTTGCATTAATAACCGATTCATCAATTTCGTGATTCAGATTGATCCTTGAATACAGTGAACCAGGAGTCGATGTACTACAATCACTCGATAATTTTACCGAAAATATCGTTGAACAGCCCGTTCCTGCACTGTCTACTATTCTGGTAGAAGAGTGCACTTTCAGGTGGCAACAAAAACTTCATTTCGGAAGGGATAAATTTACTACCGTAAGCAAGCCAGCTGTTCATAAAAAATTAAGTGATTAATTATACCAACATTTTCTTATCTATCTTCCATATACAAGTTTTCAATTACAACTTGAACGAATTTTCTATGCTTCGTCTATCACAATTGTAAATTGAACAAACATTTCAGGTGCTACAGTCACAAATCGAAGGTTATCACAAACAAGAAAGTATTAATCAGGGTGTGGCAGCAACGAGAGTTAAAGAAGGTAATAACTACAATTAAAATTTTTTCAAGTATTATGATCATATTAGTTCATGAGTAGCGATTTCACACTCCAACAGTCTGCTTATTTCTTTGTGAATTGCAGGAAGTAGAGTGTTTACTCTTGTTGATGGTGAAGAACCTACCAGAATCAGAAAGGTTAAACTTAAAGAGATCGAAAAGGATTTATGAATTGTAGCATGAACGGTTAATAAAAATGAAGAATTTAATAAATTACGCATACTTTTTATGACAATTGTGGAGAAAAAAAGTAAAGGCATGATAAAGGCATAAGATGATTCAAATGAAACCAAACAACAAATTCCAGGCAACTATTAAGCTGAATAGTCCCCCAAGAGAAAATAGTTTAGCAGAAAGAATTGCTACGTCCAGGAATAGAAGAGTAGAGCCCGCAATGTAAGATGGTTTTTTTTTGCACTTTAATTTTATTGTTATAAGCCATTAGCTTATTTATTTTCTATTCTCAAACTTATGTTTTAGGATGTCATATCGAAAACCAGTAATTGATTTACCACGTGAGGAACATCAAATGAAAACGCGAAGTGTACAGCATAACAAGCAGATGATGTACATTATGGCCTATTTGGGCCCAATCCAGGATAACATGTTTACTTGCACTTCTACTCATTTCAACTTAATTTTTAAGATCTCTATAAGTTCTTGAAATCCCATTTCATAAAACCTGCATCAAATTAGAAAAAAAACAGCAAAAAAAAGAAAAAAAAAACAAAGAAAAAACAAAACGACGCCCGTAGTGATACGTCAGTAGAAAAAATACTCAACACAGCTAACTTACGATAATTGATCTTTGATCTCACAGGCAAGTATATGATGAAAGTAACCAGTATGTTTTATGCAAAATGACAGCAATTAATGGGACAAATATTATCATAGAACCAGACCTATTCTCCATGAGTAACACCATTGAAAGTCGTTATGGTATTTACAAAGCGCACTTATCCATTGTCAACAATGAAAAATTTGATCGTATTGATGACGTCAGCACAGATCAGGTCGTTTACTTTTAATTCATACCAAAACTCGAAAATTTTCAAGCTGCTCACGTCTCAATAATATACATATACATATGTATATATATATATATATATATATATATATATA